TAGCCTCCACCCCCTTGGTATCCACCTCTACCATAGCTATCCTGTGGTCCTCCTCGACCACCTCGCCCGCCACCACTTTGATACCCGCCTTGCGGCCCACCTGAAAGTAAGATGTTACGCTTCGAATAAAAGCCAGCTATTATGAGAAAGCAGACTGTTTTAAAATCCAGGAAAACACACATACTTCCACTTCAGGCCAATGTTAAACTCAGGACCAAAAAAGTGTTTGTTTACCGTGCTAGAATTTTTGGCCACTAAAAAATCTCGGCAAATGATAAGTAATAGCTTCAACACGTCTTTATAAAGGTGGGGATTAGAAAAAATTTTTCAAAATTAAATAAAAAGGAGCCTATCTCTTTGCTGCCGAATCAAGCTCAGAAAAAAGAAGTTCGGGATCCTGCTAACTCGTCGAATGAACAATGTGATAAAATAGAAACTTATTTAAAGTAATGTCAGCTGATTCATTACTGTGCATTCCATTGTACTATTATCTTCAGTTTCTATCAAATACGCGCTACTTCCGACAATTTCATGTTTTTCTTATCTTGACACATGTGGCTGCCGGCAAAATCTACTACTTGCTACATAATCTCGTGCCTCGTCGGAGGCTGCTTGAATGATTGCTTACTACCGCGCCATTATGTTAAATTCACCGGACATTGACAGTAATCTGATGCATTTTCCATTATCATAAAGGATTTTTGATTATCAGCCCACCAAATTTCCACATATACTTTTCTTTTTCTCGAAATTTTAAATTTACCTCACAAAATTCTTACATAGCTTGGAACAGCTGTAAATCATAATTTAATTTCCCAGCAACTTCTCCAGTTGCCTTGATGAACGCTGAATCGTATGACTGTCAACTTATCGGGATTTGCGTGTATTTTTTTTGCTTCCATGACCTGCCCAACAAAAGTACCTGGCAAATCAACAGCAGTTCCGAGCTGCTCACCAGCACTATGCTCCGAACACACTGCTATTCTCAAATTACCAACTAGGATTTGCAACGTGCACATCAGTTAAATGTACCTCCAGGGGCGCGATCCTTTTTCCACGATGGCATTTCTGGTGGAGGAGCACGTAATTCGGACGGTCTGCCACCGCGATCACCCGGGCGATCGGCCATTAGCACCTGTAAAAAACCCCAAGCATACTTAATAAACAAAGCAATTACCTCAGATTTCTTAGCTACGCATAAACAAAAAAAAAGCTTGCCTTGTTTAAACGTGTTGCTGTACGTTTTCGTTCCTTTTCGCTGATCACTTTATCAACGGTGAGAAGGCTAACAGTTGCTGCAAGAAGATCGCACATCGATACTTTTGAAGCTACAGGAATTCGATCACGACGTTGCCGATAAGTTTCATGCAGCTTGTCCTGAAAACTGTGATTGAATTGCTGCAAATGAAGAAGTTTTTTCTTGATAGAAAACAACAAAAGAACACAAAAATGCAACGAATTTCTTGAAACATAAAAATTAGAAAAAAAAATTTTTTTTATCATTACAACTGCTAAGGCAGCCCAGACAAAGGATAGCCGTGCTACTGCAGCGCAAACACGTGTCCAGAAAAGCTGTGCTACCACTTCTTTCCTCAGCTTCATGTCACCAGTTATTAAGTGTTGCCTAAACTCCATATCTACTTAGCTTTTTATGCGTTTTTTTGCATCTATGCAATGAAAAAACGCAATACTGTCGAGAGGTTACCTGTGTGTGTGTGTGTCTGTGTGTGCGTGTATGTGCGTTTGTGCTGAGTTTTCATCTTGAGATCTATAAAAGCCACAAGGTTGAGACCTTGGCACTTTAATCTGCACCTATGTACAGGGTCCTATCTTCAGAATGAAGTCTTCCATGTGGTTCTCGCGCACAAGTGAACCACACGCAAGCTAGAAGGCTGAAACTTCACAAAAGTGCCTCTTGCTCACGTCCAACTCAACGATTTTAATACCAACATCGACGCACCCCAAAATCTCACGTACGTACACGTTGACTTCATATCGGCACCGTAACAACCCGAGAACTAAGCTAACCAAGTTGTAGAGAGTTATAATTTTGCAGCACCACGTGTCACTAGTTGATATGTCCGTAAAATTAAATCGAGCTTTCCAGCCCCTCCGCATCTCGCCTACGGACAAATGAAATTTGGTTTAGACGATTTTAACAATTTTGGAATTCCACAACTAACAGAGCTCGAGAACCGAAATTTTGTGGACACTGCCTAGGATTGTGTACAGTAAATACGTACGCGGTCAACTTTCCTTTTTCTCTTTCCTTTCATGTGCGAAGAAAGAATTTGGCGCCCACGGTTTTATAACTTCGGAACCGAAGCAGCTAGACTGCTGAATCTTTCTGGGCGCGGCCGACGGTGGCGTTTGGCCATGTGGACGTGAGAAGAACTTTCAGGCCCTTTTCGTGTCTCATGTACTTCTCACATACGAACACGTGAAATATGACGTAACTCTGTGACCGAAACAGCTAGAGCTCCGAAATTTTCTGAACATGATCCAGGGTCGTGTTTGGGCAGGGAAACGTAAAAACAAAATTATCTTTTTCCTCAATTACGATCGCGTGGAAGTTGACTAATTTCGCAACCAGGATAGCCAGTATGCTCAAATTTCCTGAACATGGTCCATAGCTATGTTTGAGAAGAAGCAAGCAAAAAAACTATCACGTTTTCCTTCACATACGAAAACGTCGAATTTGACGTAAACTTGCAACTAAGGCAGAAATTCTCGGAGTCTGGCCCTTCAGCGTGTATGGACTAGTGGGAATAAAAAAAACTTCCCTTTTTCCCCCTGCCTCCTTCACGCATGAACAGGTGAATTTAACGTAATTCTGCAACCAAAGCAGCTGGGGTTGTTCAAAATTTCCAAGCGTGTCTCAGGACCGTGTTTGGGCAGGCACACGTGGAGATAACATTTTCGCTTCCCTTACTTACGAACACGTGAAATTTGACGCAACTCTGCAACCGGAGCATCTAGAGTGCTGAATTTTTTTCAGCATGACCAAGACCGAGCTTACTGAGATGCACTGTAATAATTTCTGCCAGCCATGGTGGCCAGTCCCAATTCTTTTAACTGGAAGATCCTTTAGCTAGAAAAATTTGCCAGAAAAACACTATAAAAACCAGCGGAGAACTATGCATAAAACGCATCTTCGCACCGGCAGCCGGGAGCTGTAGAATTATTTGGGAACTGACAAATGGTAAGCAATGTTCACCGGTTGTCAGCAAAAAGAGAGTATTTTGAGCATCGAGCATTACTTTCTCAAATTATCACAACGGTACTTCACATGTCGTCATCTGCCAGGCCGACTGACCGTCTACGCGCTCGAAGCGATATTCTAAAGATCCTGAGTTTCTCACTGTTCATCAAAGACGGCAATTTTTTCTCGAATTTCGTCGATGACGATGATTTCGAATCACAAGTACTTCAGCTTCTAACACTATGAAAACTGAAAAAGCGCATTCTCTGACCTGCATTTTTACAATGCGATCGGACCAAGTGAACGACTGAATTGT